GGATTTTTTGATAAATTTTTCTTTTTTATATCAAATACAAACTTATATAATTTGTTAAAAAATTCATAATGAACTATTATAATATGTTCTCTTGAATTTAAAGAAACATGTAAAGGACCCAAAATTGGAAGAAAATTTTTTATTTTTGGTGAAATAGTAATTTGATATGCTGGATTGTTTTTTTGATATTCTAATTGTTTTTGTAATTGAATAATAGCTTTTCGAATATGTAATTGTCCTGGTCAATCTGCTATAACTGGTAAAATATTTTGATCTAAATATTTATATAATGATGGTATATCTGTTATTATTGAAAGTGCAGTAATATAGTCTAATGTTGATTTTAATGGTTGTTCTTGTATATTAATAACTTGAATATTTTTCATTGATCTTTCATCTTTTTGTTCAATAATTGCATTATCATAAATATGAATTGTAAGAAGTTCTATACGATCAAAATATTGAAATTTTTGTATAGTTTGATTAGCCTATTAAAATTTTCGAGTATTATAACTTATATCTAAATAATTCATATTTTTCAATTAAATATTTGTTAATTAAACTTCATCAATATTTAATGGATTAAAAAATAAAACTCCATTATATGTTGCTGGAATTGGAGAATAATTTTCAATTCTTTTTGTAATACATGTTGTTATATAATGTACATTATATAATAATGCTAATTTTGATCATCAATATGAATGAATTGAATAATAATCATCAATATTAAAAATATACATAGTATTCTGCTAAAAAAATAAATTAATTAATAAAATTAAAATTAAAAATAAATCAAATTATTATTTAAAAATACTTACAAAAGCTCTAAAATATTCAGAAATTTTTATAGAATACTCTTTTGCTATTTTTCTTTTATAGTCATCTATTGTTTTATAGCATGCTAAAATTCCTAAATTTGCTAATGTATCTATTGCAGAAGAACTACATCCAGATGCTAATAAATAAAGTCCAATTTTTATTTTTAATTCATTTGCAAATTTATTTCGAGCTCCAGCAAGAAGATAACAAAATCCTACAGCTGATTTTTTATCATTTTTTTGAGCTTGATAATCTCTATATCTTGGACTTAAAGCATTAAAAATTTCATCAAAAAACCCATTAAGTTGAAAATTAGATTGTGTAATTAATTCTGAAAATTTATTAGGATCTAATTCTATTGAATGATTTAATTTTCTTTGCTCTTTAAAAAGAACTTTCGAAAGTAAATCAAGTTTATTTTTAAACGTTAATTCTAATTAATAATTTTAAATATTAATAATTAAATAAATAATAAAATATAATATAAAAAAATTAAAAAATAATATTACCTGAATTTGAAATAGTTAAGTTTTGTTTATTAATTAATTCTTGATTTGTTTTAATTTGTATTTCTAATTGATTTATCCTATCAATTAATTTTGTAAAATCACTCTTATTTAAAATAACTTGATCATCAGTAATATTAACTAAAATATTTTTTTATTCATTATCAATATCTTCAGAAACTATAAAAATATTAGAAATTTTTTTATCCTCAAAGTCTACTGATTTTCTTTTATTATGTCTATCAGGTTCTACAATTTTTAAATAATGAGCATCATATAATTGATCATTTATTACTAAATAATTGTAATTATCGAGTATATTTTTTCTTTTGATTTTTGAAATGCATTTTCTGTAAATTTATAATAATGCCTTGCATTATTATTATTACAATTTCTAACTTTGCAAGGACCTCTATTTTGTTCCGATAGTATTTTTAAATTTCAAAAATTTTAATTTACAAAATAACAATAAAATCTTTATTCTTTATATATTTTACAATGTTACTCAAATTATTTATATATATATATACAGTATTTATTTATTTTATTTATATGTATTACATTCATATCTACATATATTTTTGTACACTTATATATTTATTTGTATATCTTCGCCTTTATTATTTGTACCTATACATTTGATTATTCATACACCTTTACTTTTATCATTTGTACATTCATATATCTACATATTACATTTAATTATTGTATGTCTACACGTTTGATCATTCATATATTTAAATTCATATACCAATATATTCAATAATTTATTTATATTCACATATTCGCACATTCACACATTTATTATTTGAACACCTGCATTTTCAATTACTCATACACCTATATACTTAATTATTTGCACTATTCACAAGCTCGATTATTTACACACTAGTCATTTGTATGCATACATAACCTAACCATCTAATGCCTATGTATTGATTTTTTCACCTATGTCTACATATGTTCACATGCTTTTATATTCGTTTAGCTTATTCTATTCGATAATAATATCATTATAACAGTATTAAAACTATAAATCAAATATTAAAATAAAATATTCTACAATACCAAGTATAACATAATATTTCCAGTTTTTTATTAAACCAAATTCCACCACAAAGTAAGTTGCCTGCATACTTTGTAACTCTCAAGAATCCAACAATTCTTTCACCCTACATAAATCACCATCTTAAAATTCCTTCAATCGATGATGCCATTGAGTTACTCAAGTCTTATGTAAGAAGTTTGTACTTGAGAAGTTGTAATTTGTCTGTATGTAGATCGTGAAAGTTATGTGCCAAACTGAGTCATCACATTCCCTAAGTTTAGAACTAATAGCAAACTGCTTAAAAGATTTAATAGCTTTTTCTGGTTTTATACCAAGATAGTCAATCTAAGGTAAAGGAACCATCTTCACACATATTCATTTATGTCTACTCATTAGCTTATGAAGCCACATACTTTACTCATATAAATATTCATATACTCACCTGCCTATTCTTATATTAAAAATCAACGTTGAAATATTTGGTTATTTTATTTATATATTAAAAAAAAAACTTTAAAAAAAGGGCCAGTAAGTTTTTAATGTTAAGAAAAATTACCATCTAGGATTAGCCAATCAGAGATGTGCCAAAGCATCTGATCTGAAATTTTATCCAAGATACAATCCGAGGTATAATTCGAGATCTACCAATTAACTAATCAAAATGAACTTTTGCTATGCTAGTAATTCTTGAGAAATCTTTAAAAAACTTCTTTTTCACATATAAAATTTCTTTAAAAAAAATTGATTTTTTTTAAAGAAAT